GACTTTGGTCCCTTCCTTCAAAGGAAGTCTCAACTTAGATAGCTGCTAGCTAATTTGATGGCCGGAATTTGTTGTCCCAGAAGCTCCAAACGATCACTGATCACTGCTCCCAGCAGCACTGACTGGTAAGACAAGCAATCTTCAAAGTTGAAGAGTCTATGTCAGTGAGGGATCACAGAAAGAAGAATAAGCGACCATATTTTGGGATGCTGGGAAACGTGTGCGCTTGTCTACATCTGTGTGTATGGTTCCTATAAATCCCAGGAGCTCACTAAGGACGTTCCCTGTCTTGAACAACAACAGCCCAACCAGTTAAGGTTGACAGGCACCAGAAAGGCATTTTCCTCTCCCAGCCCTGCACAAAAGATCAGTCATTGCCATGATGTAGAGATGCCAGTGTTGGATTGGGGTGGAAGTCAAAAAAGTCACATGACACCAGGTTACAGTCCAACAAGTTTATTTGGAATCACATGCTTTTGAACCGCTGTGAAGGAGCCTGACACAGAAGCAGTGCTCCAAAAGCTTGTGATTTCAAATAAACCTGTTGGATTATAACCCGGTGTGACGTGACTTCATACAAAATATCGTAGTAGTGAGATGAGGTTCTTTAGGGCTTCAATAGGGTGGCAGGTTACTGAGCACCTCACTTGCTCCCCACTAGAATTTTCAGAGAGATGGGTGCTGGTGAGTAGATGGGGGGGTGCAGTTTGGCAGCATAAAATCCAGCTCATGTTTCAGTAGCATTTAAACTATCCTGAAAAATAGCACGGGGAGTAGCAAGTTGTACTCATCTTGTTCTTTCGCTAAAAACTTTTATTAGCGAGTAATTATTAAATAAAATTGGACAATAGTGTAGAAATTATCCAAGTTTAAGTTTCAAACCAGGCTTATGCATACATTGAAGCTCAATATTCTACAAGGAAGAAAAGAAACTGGTGAAGAAACACAGATTTCCTTCTATTTTAACCTTATTTCGGCTCTCCCGAAGGCCAGGACAGGTGGAATTGCATCTCACAAGTGACAAGTCTCTCATCCAAATCTGGATGGTGATCAGTGGGCTGTTCAACCAAGCAAGCCAAAAGAGCTGAATTTGATCAGACTGGCACGCAGCAAGACATCAATGTCACAATCGTTTTTGCTACAAATGGCATAACATTTACACAAGGGCGGCAGAGAACCTATTTGTTTCTACCATAAACAGAGGGCTAGCACTGCAACAGCTAGGGAAATTCCTGGCTATAAATATACAGCAACATTCAGACTCTTTTTTTTCTCCCCACGCTATCATAGACCTTATTCTTGGAACCCTCCTTGCCATCATATAAATGCAAGGCATCAATTTTCACTCAATAATTTTAAACTATGTGTTTAGACATATTATGACACACATCTGAAGCAAATGAGACTTGAACTTGGACCTCTTGGTCCAGAGGTAGGGACGCTACCACTGTGCCACAGGAGTCCTTAGTTTTCATATATGCTGATGGCAACCAGCTATATACATCAACTTCAAATCATTTATAATATGTTAAAAACAGGCACCCAGCACTGATCCTCGAAGAGCACCACTGGTCACAGATCTCCAGTCAGAAAAACACTTTTCCACCACTGTTCTATGACCAAGCCTGCTTGGTATCCATCTGACCAGCACATCTCGAATCCCTTGTGACTTTACCTTCTGTATCAGCTTGCCATGAGGGACCTTGTCAAAAACCTTGCTAAAGTCCATGTAGACAACAGCCACCACGCTGTCCTCAACCATTTTGCTATTAAGTCCATATTTTTCCAATGCAAGTAAATCCCGTCCCTAAGAATCTTCTCCAATAATTTCCTTACCACTGACATAAGTCTCACCAGCCTAAAATGTCCCAGATGATCAATGTTTCCCTTCATAACAATGGAACAACATTGGCTATTCTCCAGTCTTCTGGACCCTCTCCTGTGAATAAAGAGGATACAAAGATTTTGTACAAGGCCCCAGCAACTTCCTCCCCTACATTCCTCATTATTCTGGGATAGATCCCATCAGATCTAGGGTACTTGTCGATCTTAAAATGCTTTTCGAAACACCCAACATCTCCATTTTCATATTGACACACTCAAGTTTATCAACATATCCCTCTCTAGACTCATCATCCACCATGTCCTTCCCCTTAGTGAATACTGACAAAAGTATTTATTAAGGACCTCACCCACTTCCTCTGGCTGGAGTATAAATTCCATCCTTTGTCTTTGAGTGCATCTATCCTTTCCCTAACCTCCTGCTCCTTATATTTTCTTTATTCCAGAAATACATTTCATTCATAAGAATGTCATTATATACATACATAGTGACTACAGCTGTTTGGTTCTGTACAGTCTTAGCACATTGGGAAGAAACATTGGAATTTGATTCTCCCAACAGTTAAAACAACCCAAAGCCACTTCTTACTTATGCAACATATTATTTACATTTATTTGAGGCACCAGGAGGGTCCAATAACTCAATGGACCCTCATAGTGCTTTGGCAGAAAGACCTTAGACAGTGATCTTTCCCCACCGCGCCTTAGCAGCAACTGCCCTAACTTTTGGTGCATCCCTCAGCACATAGTCCTGGATTTTGGAATGTGTCGGTCTACAACACTTGGTCAAGCTCAACTCTTTGCTCTGGAAGAACAAGTTTTGGGCAAACCAAAGAGCAACTTTCACTGAGTTGATGATCGTCTCGGTGTGCGTTCCGGGGAACAGCCCACAGAGCACGGAGTCCTGCATCACAGACCAGCTTGGGATGAATCTCGATAAAAACCACTGCATCTCTCTCCAGACTTCCTTTGCAAAGGCACATTCCACCAGGAGATATGTGACAGTCTCTATCCCCATCCCCAGCTGTTTCAAGTGCAGCATACGATGGCGCAAAGAGTCAGTGCGTACATGAAGAATCTGACGAGCAGTGCCTTTCTCACCGCCAGCGAAGCAACATCTTGGTGTTTGTTGCAAAATTCTGGTGATGAGGCATTCTGCTAAATGACCTTGACAGTCTGCTCAGGAACAACCCACCAGGATCCATCCTCTCGTTTTCCCACAGGGTCTCGAGGACGCTACATGCTGACCACTTCTTGATGGACTTCTGGTCAAAGGTGTTTTTCTTTGCAAATTTCTCCACGAAGGACAGGAGATATACAACGGTGCCAAGGCCAGTCCTATTCTTCACAACACCGGGGTCAGGTAAAACCTCAGCAATATACTAACACCTGATGCTTGCAAATCAAGGGTCCACACACAGCTCGATGCAGCCGTACACAAAGGTGACCATCAGGATCAGGGGGACATTGGGTACGTTCATCCCCCTATTGTCCAGAGCTTTGAACAGATTAAGTGGAAGAGGCTCAGGTGACTGCAGGGAACAGGTTTGGGCCAGACCTGCGCCACGTACAACAGTGCACCCCACACCTGATGATCAGGTTTTTACCCACAATGAAGTAGGAGCAGTGCTCCCAAAACCTAGTTTCTGCCTCACCACGGCAAGTTTTCACTTCTTCCAAGTTTTTGCGCACTCCTCAGCCCCTCTGACCAACATTCCCAGCACTTCAGGTAATCTGCCCTGATGGTGAAGGGGATAAAGGAGTGGTTGGCTCAGTTCTCAAAGAACACGGCCACGCTCTTGCTTTGGCACTCAAGGCCAATTCCATCTGGCTGCAAATGCTCATGAGTCTGTGCACTGACAGTGGATCTGAGCAGAAAACAGCAACATCAACCATGTACAGGGAGGCTTTGACCTGCAGGCCTCTACTGACTGGAACAGTTCCCTTGTCGGGCTCGCATCCTTCCTGATGGACCCAGCAAAGGGCTCTACACAACACATAAACAAGGAAGAACAATGGGCAGCCCCAACTGACTCCAGATCTGATCGGGAAGCTTTCTGATTCCCACCCATTGATTAAGATTGTACAACTGATGCTGGTGTACAGCAGTTGGATCCAATTGTGGATTCCCTCCCCAATTTGAAGAGCACGTCCCAAATGTAGGTTGTGCAATATCCTGTCAAAGGCCTTCTCCTGGTCCAGGCTGATGAGGCAGATATCCAAGCACCTATCCTTCCTGTAGGAAATCATATCCCTGAGAAACACAAGGATCTCAGATAACATCCTGCCTGGTATAGAACAGGTTTAGTCAGGGTGAATCACTGATCCCTGACCCAGTTGGTGATGACCTTAGGATTGTGTAATTGGCATTCAGCAGTGAAAATGGTCACTAATTTCCTCCTTCTCCCTCTTCCACTTGTAGATGACAGTGATGATACCTTTCCTAATGGATTCGCACATGCTACCTGCTGGAAGCATACTGTCATACATCTCCAGCAGATCCTGACCAATCAAGTCCTGCAAAGCTAGATACAACTCAGCTGGTAAGTGGTCGCTTCTGAGAGTTTTATTCTTTTCTAAGGACTCAAGGGCCTTGGTCAACTCATCCAGAGGTAACGGCTGGTCCAGCCTCTCCCACGTCGTGACATCAAAAGCCCTCTGTGATAGAGGATAGGAATGACTGGGAGGCCATGCTGTCTGTGAGCTTTGTGTCATACAGTCTAGAATTATAGGATTTGCTGATCCTCAGGATGTCAGACTCAGATGACATTACCAAGCTATCATCTTCCTTCAGGCTGCTGATCATAGAGCTCTCCTGGGTGCTTCTTCTGGAAGAAGCAGGAGTGTATCTCAGCCAGTTCCAGTGTTCATCCTAGATCAAAGTTTATCTTGGCTTGCTAGCTCTCCACCTCCTCGAGATTGTCCTTGACATAAATCAACAACACCCCATCCCTTGTGTCTGTCTCTCTCTCTCTTCCCCCCCACCACTTCTGGACACCTTTGAAGATGAAGAAGTTCTTGATGTTCCCATTGACTGTTTCCCACCAGTCTACTGGAGACTCAAAGAGTCTCCAATACCTGTTATCCATTTTGAGCTCTTCAATGTGTTCTGGTGTCAATAGTTTCACGTTCAGCTTCCACGTTCCCTTGCTGGCCCGCTAGCCAGCCCGTAGATGACAGTCAGCCAGCAGGATGCGGTGGTCAGAGAAGACCACCAGCTTCACGTCAATGGAGCTGACCAAGAACATGCGAGACACAAACAGAAAATCTATCTTTGAGCAGACAGACTCGTCTGACCACAACCCGGTGTATCTACACTGCTCTCCGTCTGCAGGTGTGAAGGCACATGCAACTTGGTGACTTTAACCGTTTCCATCAGGATTCTGGACTTGACCATTCTGCTCCTTATATACATATAAAGCACCTTGGGATTTTCCTTAATCCTGTTTGTCAAGGACATTTCAAGGCCCCTCTTAGCCCTCCTAACTCTTCAAGTTCTTTCTTGCTTTCTTTATACCTTACATATGCCTCCTTTTTATTTTTCCTTTCTCTATACAGCACTCTCAAAGGGCAACCATTGGTTAAAATATTAACTGAAAATCAATTCAAATGCTAAGACAATCAGCGAATTCGAGAGCTATGCAGTTTACAAGAACAGAAACAATCATCCAAACTCTCTTGAATACCACAACTGGACTTACCTCCATCAAACTTCCAGGCAGTGCGTTCCATACCCTAATTACTTGCTGTGTGACAAAGTCCTTTCTCTAGTGATGCTTCTTTGGAAAAGATTTAAAGCTGTGTCCCCGGCCTGGTTCTCAATCCTTTCATGAGTGGAAACAGTTTCTCCCTATCAGTGCTGGTCAGACCTTTCGTGATTTTGAAAATTCTATCAAATTTCCTCAGCCTTCTCTTCTCCAAGGAAAACAGTCTCAACATTTCTAATCTTTCCTCGTAATTGAAGATTCTCATAACTGGAACCATTCTCATAAACTACTTCTCCACTCTCTCTAATGCATTTACATTTCCTATTAGGTGGTACCTAGAACTGCACACAATACTCCAGCTGAGGTCCAACCAATGTCCTGCACAAGTTCATCATAACCTCCCTACTCTTGTATTCTATACCCAATTAACGAAACCTAGAATACTGCTATGCTTTATTAGCAGCTCTCTATACTGTCATGCCATCTTTAATGACTTATACGCATATACAACCAGATCGCTGCCTCTGCAAACCCTTTATAATATCCCTTACTTGATACTGTTTCTCCATGTTCTTTGCAAAGTGCATAACTTCACATTTTTCCACAATGAATTTCATCTGCCACCTATCCACCCACTCTACAAATATGTCAATGTCCTACTGAAGGTCAACACTGTCCACTTCATATTTTGCAATGATCCCAAGTTTTATGGCATCCATAAACTCAAACTATCCCCTACCCACCATGATCTAGATCATTTATAATTCAGAAAAAGCAAGGGTCCCAAAACTGACCCCTGGATAACTCCACAAAACTTTTCCAGCCCAAAAAATTCCTATAAACCATTACCGTTTCTCATTCCTCAGCCAATGTTGCCACTGTCCCTTTTATTCCATGACCTATCACCTTCTGGATTGTTGCATGGCACTGCATGAAACGCCTTTTGGAAGTCCACGTATGCCACAACTGCAGCCTTCCCCTCATCAACTGTCAGTTACCTCTTCCAGAAACCCCCCAAAAAGTTGGTTAAACATAATTTTCCCATAAATCTTCCAAATTAATCCACACTTTTTCACACAATAATTAATTCTATCCCAAATAATTATTTCTAGAAGTTTCCCCATTAATTCTCTAATCTTTCAGCATAACTCAAAATCCAGAGCAGATTGAAAGATGGCATTTTTCTTTGTCTTTGCCTCTTCAATTTTCTCACTTCATTCAATATCCTTGGATGCGTCTCATCTGGTCCCATCTGCCTTATCAACTTGAAATGCTGAAAACTTATCCAATACCCTCTATTTATCAATTTTAAACCCTTTTAGTGACTGACTTTTCCTTCCCTGTCACTATGGCCTGGGCAGCATCTGCCTCATAGGTAAAGATAGCTGCTGGGTATTCATTTAACATTCAAACCATGATATCATCTTATTGGGTCTCCAGGAATAACCAAGGAAATAAGAGAACAAGAGATTAATATGTTAATTGAGGTTAACTGGGTGTGAATTTGAAACAAAAGGTGAATGTGAATTGGCTGTATAAATATGGCAAGCTAGTAATCAGTGGGTGGGAAGGGTACAGAGAGACAGAGACAGAGAGAGAGACAGAGAGAGACAGAGAGAGAGAGACAGAGAGAGAGAGAG